TGGCAGACCCTCTTTACCTACTACCTGGATAGACGCATTTATCAGCCCAACCTCTGCACCCCTAAAATCACACTTGAGGATGCTCTATCTAACCAAAGGGAAAAGGGGTTACAGAAATGTACCTCATGCCATAGTTACCACCTGGATAGTCCTCTAGGCCCTCACTGTGACCAGTGCCTTGTAGTACTCAAAATAGTTACCCCTTACAGTGCCACAGCCAAAGAAATGACTGCTTAAATAATAGAAGTCACTGTCATCTTTTTTTTTTTAGGAAATATTGCCCAAGGTCCTTACTGATCTTTAAATGAAAATGTCTGGAAATACTGAAGCCACTCTTTTTTTTTTGGTGGGGGGGGGAGGTGTGACAGGGCACAGGAAAAACTTAACAGAAGAGGAAGAAATATACATTTAGGGAGATTTATATGTAATATTTTCAGTCTCTTTATTGAACTAACATTTCTTATAATGTTCTGAGGAAAAAGCATTCTTAAATAGCTTGATTGGCATCAGCCATACGTAAACCCTGTTGCTTTACCTGCAGTATATCTCATTTTAATCTCCTCCCATTTCCAGCATCACTACCACAGCCTCATTACTCCAGTTATATCAAAAGCTTCCAAAGTCATCCTCCTGCTTCCAGTCTTAACACCCTCCAACGCATTCTCCACACTCCTGCCAGAGTGGCCAATAAAGGGTTCTGACCATGTCATTCCATGACTTACATTTTCTCAAGAGTGGCCCAGACATTTGACCATGGTACGCAGAGGTCTTCCTTGCCATCTTTCTCCCCCTCAGGGGGCTGTGAACAGCCCCCTGACTTACCTTCATCACAGCACATACAAACCACTGTGCATTCCACACCTTATTTTCCAGTTTCCGCTCAATAGGGAGGCTCTTTAATACATGTTAATAAATAACAATCATAAAACAACAACTTTCATTTACCTAACAGAGTAAATGCCAGGCACTGTGCTAAGTTCTTTAAAAACTATGTATCTTCAGCACACCATAATGTGAAGTACTATTATTGACATTCACTTAACACAGGATAAAACTGAGGCCTAGAAAAGGAGAATAATTTGCCCAGGGTTTCACAAATACGAAATAGCAGAGTATGGGTATAAACGCTGACATATATAACTCCACAGCCTGCATTTTTCCCCAATATTTCATCATCTTATTGTGCATTCATTTTACAAAAAGCAAACAAAAATTGTGAAGAGAACAAATTATGTACATTATAGTCTAAAAAGAAAAAGTGAAAGTCTATTCTGCATCATTTGGAGTCTATTTAGTAATGAAGTGAAGTGAAGTGAAAAACTCATTCAGTTGTGCCCAACTCTTTGTGATCCCATGGACTATACAGTCCATGGAATTCTCCGGGCCAGAATACTGGAGTGGGTATCCTTTCCCTTCTCCAGGGGATCTTCCCAACCCAGGGATCAAACCTGGGTCTCCCACATTGTAGGAGGATCCTTTACCAACTGAGCCACAAAGGAAGCCCAAGAATACTAGAGTGGGTAGCCTATCCTTTCTCCAGCAGATCTTCTTGATCCAGGAAACTTTATTTGGAAGAAGGTAAAGTCTCAGGTGTCACAGTGGTAAAGAATCCGCCTGCCAGTGCAGGAGACACAAGAGATGCAGGTTTGATCCTTGGGTTGAGAAGATCCCTGGAGTAGGAAATGGCAACATACTCTCGTATTCTTGCCTGGAAAATTCCATGGACAGAGGAGCCTGGCAGGTTACAGTCCACAGGATCACAAAGAGTCAGATGCGACCCAGTAACTGAACACACACAGAAAAAATATGAATTAATATTACCCGAGCAGGAGAGATAAGTATCTGCCAACATTTGGATTTAAAATAAAAGATTAGAAAGCCTGTAAGTGACCAAGACCCCACAATGTCTTCCCTACTTTTTGGAAAACAGCGGAGGCCCCAAAAGGCAGAAGTGTACGTTCCTCTTATACTGAGAGATGTCCAAACTACTTATCCTTGAAATATAGTAACAATCTGACATTATAGGTTGGGTCCTATTAAACTTCCCTCCTCTACAGCTTTTATCTTATTTTTGTGAACTCATTTATTTTATTTTTTACATGTTTATTGGAGGACAGTCGATTTAAAAGGCTGAGTTAGTTTCAGGTATACGGCAAAGAGAATCAGTTACATATTTACCTGTGTCCAGTCTTTTTCAGATTCTTTTCCCATATAGGTCATTACAAAATATTGAGAGGAGCCCCCCGCGCTATACACTAGGTCCTGTCTTTACTAGTTATCCATTTTACATATGGAAGTGTGAATACGCCATTCCCAATCTCCCAATTTATCTCTCCCTATCTGTTCCCCCTTGGTAACTAGAAGTTTGCTTCCTACATCTGTGACTGTTTCTGTTTTGTAAATACATTTATTTCTATACTTTTTTTTAGATTCCTTCTCCACAGCTTTTAGAAATAAACATTAATGAGCTAAAGCCAGGTAACAATTCATGAATATTATGTCTTTTTCATTTTTCAAGGCGGGGGCAAAGGGGTTTCCCCAAATTTTTATTATTTTCCAGGCCTTCATATCTTATTCCAGACTTCCTTCAACTTCCCGTGGCACTCCAAACTGAACAAAGATCTCTAAGTATTGTGCATCTGTCTAGGGCTTACTGACACCCATGTGATGTGCTGTGGTTACACCCTAGATACATGCCTGTGAGCCATCATATGGCTTTATCTCTCTTTACCTTGTAGAACCCTCAGGGTTCCCAGATCTCCTAATCTTGACTGCATAGCACAACACGTATTAACATGGTCTGTTTTTCCTTTAAGCTCTAAAGAACCTTACCTTTGTCCCCTTAGAATATGGTTGCAATTTATTTTCACAAGGATATTCTCCTTTTACATTGGGCTCTTCCCAGAGCTAACTATCTAATTCAATTAAATATCAATATAGAATTTCAGGAAGATTTTTAGTGCTTTCTTGTTTAGTCTCTTAGTCAACATATCCAAAGCTAACAGTGGACCAATGATAATAACTCTGCCTAAATGAAATGATCATCTCATTCATGTCCACCCACCCACTTTGATCCAAAGCAAATCATATTTTCCAGTGTCCTAAAGATAATATGTTCATTCAGACAACAAAAATTTCTTGAGCTATTACTATGTACCAGGCACTGTGCAAGGAACCCAGAGAAACAGAGATGGATCTCACGACATTTACATCAATACATAGGAGAGCCAGGGTCATGCTAAGATACAAGTTGGCACAGGAAACAGTAGGGGACAAAAGAGGAGATGTTAAATTCTACCTATGACAATCGAGAAAGTCCTCCCAGACAAGGTGAAACATGAGATGAATCTTAAAAACAAGTAAGTGTTGTTTTCCAGTTGGAGCAGTAAAGAAAGCCTATACCCAACCTACCTGTATCAAGCTTCAGAGTGTACAAAATACTTTCTCATACATTGGTTAATTCAATCCATCACTCTATAAGGTAAGGATTAGCATAAGGGATGTCTGAGCTGTAAGGACTCTTTAATTTAAGCTGATGAAGCTCAGGGCCAGAAAGAGTAAGTCATTTTTCAAAAGTCTAAGTGTTAATGAAGAGCAGCCAGCAATGAAACTCAACACCAGGATAACGAAAGACTTAACAGCAGTAATGTGCTGGAGTCAACTTGTACTCACTTAGAAAAGCCAACTGTTAAGTATTCAGAAATTTTCAAAGCCTGCTATCAAACTTTGGTAACTTGAAATAAAATATTGTGGGAGTATTTAACCACAAAAATTGCCATATTCTATATATCAGGACTTGTTTTTTTTTTGATGGCCAGTTTACCAGCATGCCATTGCTGATTAAGTCAGTATGACCTTGCAGCAAACTGCTTTATATAAGGCTGTAGTAAGAGTCTTACCCGATTATTTCCCTATGATATAGAGGTTAACTGTTGGAAAGCAATAATCTGACTGAGTAGTTAAGCCATTCTTTAAAATAGTAAGCCTGCCAAATGAATTTTTATAATGTCAATAATTATTTATGAAATTTCTTATTTATCAATACACATTCTGTCCTTGTAAATTAAGAAGAAGAATAAAAAGACACAGTCCCTACCTATGAGGATCGTTCCAGCGTTTTTGTAAATGTGGATACTGATCAGCTGGCTCATTCATTTTTAGGCCATCCTAATTACTTTTACAAATTCAGTTCTACTTTTGCTCTCCTGCTAACAGGCTATCTTGTCAGCACTTATGTGAGCTCACAAAAATCACAGCTAAGCTCTGAGATGATTAATAGTTTGTAAAAACCATAGATGTTCAAAGGAAGGGGGGATTTTACCCTCTTCATCCAATGCTCTAAGTTAAAAATCTTTAAACTTTGCATATCTGTAAAATTGCTTATTTTAATAACATCTGCCTGGGCCTCTCCACAATTTAATGTGGCCTCCTTCTCTTCTAAAAGTATTGTCTACCTTGTTGACCTAGCTCACAAACAATTTCAACAAAATTCTAAATAAATAGAACTCTCTGAAATGCAGATAAGTCAAACCAGGCCAATCTTCCAATTAAAGTATCTTGAAGGGAATGTGCAGTCATTTGGGGACCTGTACAATGTGCTACATTGTCAATTCACTTCTTCATTTTGAACAACTCCACTTCATACCAGCTTACCGTAGATCTCTTGAAAACTCCACAAGTAGCATACTTGAAATATCAGGCATTTTTCTTTAAAACATCTGGGATTCTCTTCAAGTGCTGGTAACTGAGGTTTATGTGCTGGTGTGTCTATGTGGGTAAGAGATATTTACAGACATTAAATTTGCTTAAAAAAACATAATTTTTGTGCCTCTTGCTATAATCTTCGCAGGCTTATGGTAAAGACATTTTCTTTGAGCTTCTGTTAAGCACATTTCTATGATGCTACATATTCTAGGTTATATTCTTTTCCTTAAGGAAAGCATGAAAAATGGAGTTATTTTCAGGCCACATCAAACATGGATTTGCCCCTAAACATACAGCCAGAAAATGGCAGAGCTGAAATCTGAATTCAGATCTTCTGACTGGAAGCAGGCTTCGTCCTGCTGTGTCATCACATCACCTTTGGAGGCAGGAGTTAGGCTTTTGGTGAGTGGGGGATGAGAGAGAGAACTAAATAGTCACCGAAACTCAAACACCAGGCAGCTGAGATCCTACATCTTGTGTAATGCAAACCTACATCTTGTGCTCCTAAGTTCAGCGCTCGCTCCATGCCACCCCACCGCCTCTGGTGTTCTTTCTCTCTCTCTCGTCTTCTCTCTCTCTCACACACACACTGTTTTCTTTTCTTTCCTTTTTTGTCGTGCTGGGTCTCCATTGCAGCACATAAGCTCTCTGGTTGCCCCACGGCCTGTGGGGTCTCAGCTCCCTGACCAGGGATCAAACCCACATGCCCTGCCTTAGAAGGCAGGTCCTTAACCACTGGACCACCGGGGAGGGGCCCTCACATGTTCTTATGTGAATATGGGCTTCAAGCTGTTTTTTGTTTTTTTCCTTCTTTTAAACCCAGTGAAGAGAACGAGTTCTGCTAGAACTCCCCAGTTGTGTGGTAAAGCTAGGAGAAACAACAGCCTTAAGGCCTACATAACCAATGGCATATATCCACAAGACAGCCAACCTGGAATAATGGGAAAGGGCTCAATCTCACAAGCCAAACCTAAGTCTTGACCCAGTAACCCTACATGATCACCCTAAACAGCTAAACCACTAGCCTGCTGACTTAGGTCCACCCTCCACTGAGGGGTGGCTAGTACAATAATCTCACCTTTCTACACTCCTCTGGCCCAGACCAGGATGAAGTCCATCACAGCAAAGGTAAGCTAACTTGTCAAAGCCAATACCTCTGGATTGGGTTTCATGGAATTTGGGTTCATATGAAATTAATAGAGGGTGACGGGGTGTGTGTGTGTGTGTGTGTGTGTGTGTGTGTGTAGGTGTAGGTGGGAGCAGGGAACACAGACACATTCGTGGTTCCCCTTTCACCTTTTATAAGTAAGTGCTAAAAGAAACATTTAAAAAATCATAATAAATTGAGCTTTTACAGGGTGACTAATACACTAATCCCTTATAGGGATAAACTGGAGTCTGGGCTACCTTTGCTCCTAGAAACGAAACACATCACAGGCCCCAGCATGATATAATACCTGGTTTCTCCTAGACTTATTACATTAAAAATGTGTTACAGGTGCAGAAAAATTCCAATCTGGCAAAAAGTTGTTAGAGAAGGAGACCAAAAATAGAGGCAAGATCAGGTTTCCACACAGATCCAAGTGGAAAATTTACCCCCGCTGACTGGCACATTCCTGCTTGATGTCATTCCCACCCACCCTCTACTCTCCTTTTTCCTCCTTCTACTTTTTCTCTCTCCCCTCCTTCCCATACAGGTCTCACACTAAAGAGGAAATGGGTGAATAAAACCACTAGGGTAATCACTCTTAGACTTAACATTTAATTATGTTAGGAGGTAGCCCCACCAATTCAACATAGAGATAGATCTTGGTATTGACCAAAGGAGGCTGGATAATTCCCACAATTACAGGCCACAAACCATTCTTTTTTCTTAGGGCCACTAGAGTGATGACCACTAGGCCTTCTGATTGGAAGCCTGAGCTTCTTTCTGCTTCATCACACCACATTCTGAGGCACTGCTATGGAATAAGGCTGACAGTATGAGTCCTGACTCCACCGTTTTTATGTCACGAGAACAAGTTATTTAATTTCTTACCTCCTGTCCTTCCTGTTCGGCAAATAAAGCCTACCTCATGGGTCTCTAATGAGGATTAAATGAGTTAAGTATATAAAGCATTAGAAGAACAGCACAAAGTGAATGCTTAGTAAATATTGTTGCTGTTGTTATTGATCAGTCGCTAAGTTGTGTCTCTTCGTGACCCCACAGACTGCAGCACACCAGGCTTCCCTGTCTCCTGGAGTTTGCTCAAATTCATGTCCATTACGTCAGTGATGCTATCTAACCGTCTCATCCTCTGTCACCCCCTTCTTTTGCCTTCTATTTTTCCCAGAATCAGGGTCCTCTTCGTATCAGGTGGCCAAAGAATTGGCGCTTTAGCATCAGTCCCTCCAATAAATATTCAGGATTGATTTTCTTTAGGATTGACTGGTTTGATCTCCTTGCAGTCCAAGGGTCTCTCAAGAGTCTTCTCCAACACCACAATTCAAAAGCATCAATTCTTCAGGGCCCCCTTCCTTAACGGTCCAACTCTCACATTTATACATGACTACTGGAAAAGCCACAGCTTTGACTATATGTACCTTTGTTGGCAAAGTGATATCTCTGCTTTTTAAATACACTGTCTAGGTTTGCCATAGCTTTCCTTCCAAGGAGCAAGTGTCATTTAATTTTATGGCTGCAGTCACCATCTGCAGTGATTTTTGAGCCCAAGGAAATAAAATCTGCCCTTATTTCCACTTTTTCCCCTTCTATTTGCTATGAAGTGATAACATCAGATGCCATGATCTTAGTCTTTTTAAAATTGAGTTTTAAGTCAGCTTTTTTACCCTCCTCTTTTTCACTTTCTTCTTTCACCCTCAAAAGACTTTTCAGTTCCTCTTCATTTTCTGCCATTAGAGTGCTTTCATCTACATATTGTTGTTGATATTTCTCCTGGCAATCTAGATTCCAGCTTGTGAGCCATCCAGTCCAGCATTTCAAATGATGTACTCTGCATACAAGTTAAACAAACAGGGTGACAATATACAGCCTTGTTGTACACCTTTCCCAATTTTGAACCAGTCTATTGTTCCATGTCTGGCTCCAACCATTGCTTCTTGACATGAATACAGGCTTCTCTGGGGACAGGTAAGGTGGTCTGTCTGGTATTCCCATCTCTGAAGAATTTTCCACAGTTTGTTGTGATCCACACAATCAGAGGTTTTAACATAGTCAATGAAGCAGAAGTAGATGTCTTTCTGGTATTCCTTTGTTTTTTCTATAACCCAATGAATATTGGCAATTTGATCTCTGGTTCCTCTGCCTCTTTGAAACCCAGCTTGTACATCTGAAAGATCTTGGTTCACTTACTACTGAAGCCTGGTTTGAAGGATTTTAAACATAACCTTGCTAGCTTGTGAAATGAGTGCAACTGTATGGTAGTTTGAACATTCTTTGTCACTGTCCTTCTTTGGGATTGGAATGTAAACTGAACTTTTCCAGTCACATGGCCACTGTTGAGTTTTCCAAATTTGCTGACATACTGAGTGGAGCACTTTAGCAGCAGCATCTTTTAGTATTCTAAATAGCTGAGCTGTTAGTTATTTTTAGTATTTCTCTACTCAGGAAAAGCCAGCCAACACTAGGTTCTCCTCAGGGCACACCCACTTCTTCTCCTCCTCATCCCTACTCTCCCAGGAGACCTCAGGCATCGGTTCATTCAACCCGTGGAGTATTTCACTACTTCCTCTCCTTTACGTAAGAAGTAAGGAAAACCTGTATAAATTTAGACTAAAAATAAAGACTATGTGATCCACAATGGAATTTTCAAAACAGATAAGGGCTTTAACAAAATCTCGTCCCACAACTAATGTACTAATCCTTTAGGGACCCAGGGAACTTCCAGGGTCTAACCCATTCAAATTCCTGACCCTCTCAAGTATCAGACCTCCATAACAAGCCTCTCGCATCTATCTGGAAGGGAAAGAGAAACCCTTCCCACACTTTCCTGGGAAGGAAAAGAGAGTTAGTACAGACAAGTTAGAATCCCCTGAGCAAAGTCACTGGCAATGAAAGCACAGCTGACCCCTGAACAAACATCACAGGAGTTAGGGGTGCCGATAAGCCCACCTCCAGCAGTGAATTCCCATATAAGACTCTTCTTCCAAAATTCAACTACTAATAGCTTATCACTGACCAGATGCTTTACCAATAACATAAATAATTGATTAACACATATTTTATATGTTTTACATAGTATATTCTTGTAAGATCGAGAGAAGAAAATGCTATTAAGAAAATCATAAGGAAGGGAAAATACACTTACAGTACTACACTGTATTTATCGACACCGTAAATTGATGTCATCTCTTTACAAGGTGAACCCTTTCTGTCAGTACCTATCAAACATTGTCTTACACCAAACACTGGGGATGTTACACCTGTCACAAACTGCTGCTGTTCAGTTGCTCAGTAACTTCCGGCTCTTTGCGACCCCATGGACCGCAGTAGGCCAGGCTTTCCTGTCCTTGTTAGACATCAAAAATGAAAAGGTAATGTGAAAAAGAAATTCATATTTATTTATTAGGTATAATAATTCACGCATTGATAATAAAGAAGCAACAGTATGATTGCTTTGTGGTAGCCTAATTGATCCAATTGTTTCACGGTAGCCTAGCCTATGGGCTAATGAATGGTCACAAAATTTTTATGGCATACAGTATTACAGTCACATTCATAATACAGTATTAGAAACACTGTTACTTTTTTTAAAAATCTATTGTGATGATAGGCTGATAGGCAGTTTCTCCAATTATGAGAGAGGAAACATACTATGTGGTAATATAACTCTTTGAAAGCAAAGTTATAAATCAGTAAGAAAAGTAAAACATTACTAATTTTACATTAACTATTACTCACCTTATGCCTATGTAAGGATAGGCTATCCACTTCAATACAAGTGTTGTACAATACAAGTGTACACATTGTTCTACACAAATATTTTTGCATATTTATTGAAATCCATGGATAAGTAGACTCATATAATAAACCCATGTTGTTTAAGGATCAACTATATTTCCATCAGAAAGGCCCCTCTCAGGGGCTGAGTTTCTCTGACCATAATCTTCAGGGGTCACTTCAATAACTAGAAACCTCACAGGTGAAGTTTTTTCTGAAGATTAATCTCTCACGCTTATACTTTAAAGCTCATAACACTTTGTCACATCTATTTGACCCTCATGAAAACCCAGTGAGGCTGAGTGGGAAATCTGTGTCCAATTCATAAAAGAAGCTATGGATTTCAGGGAAGTTACTCACCAAGGTCATACCAGCTGAAATCAGCCTGTGGGCCTAGGACACAAGTCTTCTGATGCCTAGTCTGGTGCCCTTCCCATCTGCAGGGATGCTTTACTCACCTTCC